TTGCAGCGACAGAGAATTTGTGACCTTGTTCTGCTTCACTCTGAGATTAAAAAAAAAGAGAAATTCAAAAGGAGTCATGATATCAAATGGCTCAGAAACACATTTGAAGATATTTGGGGGATAGAAAAACACACACACAAAAATAGGGATTGTGTCCATGCCATTGATGATTCATTGTCTCTGTTGCTAAAAAATAAATTCCCCTCACAGCCAGTGATTAGATGGGGAACAGTTGGTGAGCGAGGCGCACAAAGCGCTGCATATGGCTGTGATGAAGCCGCGTGAGCTTCGGTTAGTGGCTCATCCCAGTAGTTTTTATGTTTTTATTCATTTATATATATATATATTTTATATTCCTCCTCCAGAAGGGAGCTCTGACACGAAGAGGGATCAAACAGCACATAAAAGCTACATCAATAGTACAGGGCTACAAAATGATAAACAGAGCAGCCTCCTCTGCTGTAAATTCACAGCGTGCATCAGTCTTTGTAAAGGCACAGGTTAATGTACGGGAAGATGAATCCTATTGATGTGTGATTCGACGCGCTTCTCCGAGGTTAGATGGAGAGATTGATCTGAAACTGAAAGACAGCATGAGGGGAAGTCAGTAAACACTCAGGTTCAGACTAAAAAATACTCCTCTCTCTTCCTCTCCTTCAACCAGCCTCTCATCTGTGAGATTACTGTTCCCATGGCAACGCAGCTGATTGCACAGAAATTGCTGTGGTTGTGGGAGCCATGGCAACACATTGCATTAAATTATCCTGCCTGCTCATGTTGCAGTTTTACGTACGCGTGCTTGCGTCACCCGCTTGTGACGACACGTCAAAGCCGTCTTGTCTGCAGTCAAAATAACACTGCTGAGCTGCTGAGTGTTACTGAGACTTAATATAGACAGATACGCAGTTATTTTTATTGTCTACAATCTTGTAGTGCTTGTCAAAAAACAAAAGCACAAGAGAAGAAAATATAGAACTGCTACAACTGGGAATTTGGCTAAATTTGACCTCAGCTTACTTTACCATAAAACATTTTTCTGCATCACATGCGATGCTGATTTGATGGTGAAGCAGCATCTTCGCTGCTGTGAGCGAATATGTTTTTTAAAGATTTGCAGAGAGTGTTTTGTAAAACTACAAATACTGAGCTGTCAAATTCAGATTCTCTGCAACTTGTACTTTGTTTTCTTTGGCAAATGAATCAAAGCCATAGAGGTGGTGAGAGAGTCATTAACCACATGTGAACAAAGACCTATACAAAAAGATTACACAGGGGTCGCCACAGGATCATCTGCCTTCATCTCACCCTATCCCTAACATCGTTTGTCACACCAACCCTCTACATGTCTTTCTTTCCTACATCCATGAATCTTCTCTGGGGCCTTCCTCTTTTCCTTCTGGCTGGCAGCTCCATCTTCAACATCTTTTCTCCAGTATATCCACTATCCTCTGCACAGGTCCACAACATCTTAACTTCGCTGCTCTAACTTTGTCTTCCAACCACTCAACTTCAGCGGTCCCTCTGACGTACTCATTTGTAATCTTGTCTATCCTGATCACTTCCAGTGAAAATCTTAACATCTTCAACTCTGTCTCCTATCTTTCCCATCTCCCATCTCCAAATCATACATCATAGCAGGTTTCAATACCATGTTGTAAATCTTCTCTTTTGCTCTTACATATAATTATTATATGTGCATTATTGATACAGTTTACATTTTTTGCCTTTACCACGTAAAATGCAGTTATCATGACACCTCTATTGCCAGCATACCGCGTCAGGCTCTGAGGGGACACATTCCAAAACCTCCATCACGTGCTGGCGCACCAAAACAGGTGTTTTCACACCTGTAGTTCATTTACTATGGCCCTGATCAGCTGATGAGCTTGTACACTTGAAGTTTTCTTCAGTGTTTTGGGGAGAAAACACAGAAAAAAATTCACATGAACCATAATGCCTCACTAGAAACCATGTGAGAACAGTTTGTAGTGGTACACAGATGTGTCTGGGGCAGGAACCGTGAATGCACATCAGTGGTACTCTACCACATGTCTGCTCAGAATGCAAAGCATGCTTAGCTATGAGAACGCATTTAGCCCAGATGCCTGATAATTCACACCAAACCTTCTGGGTGCGGTTGTTTTGGTCCGCACTCGAGTGCAGATGCCTTTAGTTATCAAACATTTATAGTTATCAAAGGTTCACTGTTGACTACTAATGCAAAAGAAAAAAAAAACAGTTGTAAATATCAATCAAATAAACATTATGCTGTCTCTTTAGCAATTGCTTATGCTGGGAAACATGTATTCATGGAGGTTTTTCTGTTGGTTGTGGTTCCACAAACCATCCACAGCCTCTCCTCCTCCTCCTTACCCCCCCTCAGAGCTCTTACACAGTCTTCCTTCTCTACTTCTCAGATTACAACCATCCATTATTGGTATGAACCTTTAACTCGCCTGCGCCGCCTGTGCACTCCTACAGGCTTATACGCATCATATCATTACCAATAAGCGATGATACCGGCGCTGTAGTTGTTTGGTTAACATTGTGCTTCACAAGTGCGCCGTGCACCGAGTGAAATGTGCTTAAGTGATCGAGAATGGGTTTTTTGCAAAAATGGTGAAGGATATTTACAGGCAGTGTCTAACCAGGTGTAAATTTTTGAAGGCTTTTCCAGGAAAATGTCGGATTTGTGAGTTGGTGGAGGACGCTGAACAGGATTCATTGTTTTAGTCAAACTGTATTAGGAGGCTAATCCCATGTTACACGTGCATTACAGCACTTGTAGTGCGCAAGCCAGCCAGAACGCAGCAAATAGGCAATTCATGGAGGCTTGAGTCATATTATTGACTTGCTCCAAGCATGTAGCCTACTTAGAACTCTGCGTGTGTGTGTGTGTGTGTGTGAGGTCGGATATAAATATAGTTGAAGAGATCACAGATAGAAGTACCGAATGTTCTAGTGGGAGGTACTTGTGATAAAATCTTGGGCAAGTTTCAGGCCCATTGCTCATCTGTTGTCTGCAATTTATTTATTTATTTTCTACTCACTTGTGAAAAGATGTATTGTCCTTCTTTTCACACTGTTGACTTGCTTGGAGAGAATGGTGGGTAAAATGTGTTTCATACATCCTTTTAAGCACACACACACGCTCACACACACTGAGCTCCTTACTCCTTGCATTCAGACAAGATATTTATTTCTCCGGTGGATTGTTTCAGAGGCAGAGCGTCTCCATGGTGATGGCAGCCCACAGATCAGGATGAGGAAGAGTGCGGGAAGGAGGCGGCAGAGAGAAAGAGAGAGAGAGATGATTCCACCTTATCTGCCACTGCTGTGCACTTGTTGAAACACATACTGTATATGCTGATTATTATCCACACAGCACTTAACGCACTCTCTCCTCCTTTACCCACTCCTCCACCTTTCACTCTCGCTTTACCTGCTCCTGCTCTGTTCTTCTTAACACTATAACTATGCTTCAAACTGGGTCACCTTCGTTGTGGTCGTGGTCGAGTTAAGAGACTGCATAAAATATCAAGATTGCTATTGCTACCACAAATAATAATTACAATAACAATGAAAAGAATATTAATAATAATACAATTATTATGGACATTTTTTATGTAGCACCAGATCACAACAATAATTGCCTCAAGACTCTTTATATTGGAAGGTAAAAACCCTAGAATAGTGTGAGAAACCCCCAACAATCAGACGACCCACTTTGAGCATGCTCTTGGCGATGGTGGGAAGGAAAAACTCCCTTTTAGCAGGAAGAAACCTCTGGCATAACCAGGTTTGTGGGGGTGAGGGGAGGAAAACAAGACAAAAGACACGCTGGGGAAGAGAGCCAGAGATGAATAATAACTCATGAATAAATGCAATGAGATGTCTAAACACAAAGAGAGTGAAAATAAGTGAGTGAAGAAGAAAAACACTCAGTAGCCCAGGCCAATTACAGCATAACTAAGGGAGGATTCAAGAACACAGGGCCTGATTATTCAAGATCTTGTATGTGAGAAAGATTTTAAATTCAATTCCAGATTTATTTATATACAGAAATAACAAAACGCCACATCTCACCCTCAGACCTAAGAAAGTAAAATCTTATTTTAAACATATGACATAGACATTAAAATAAATAAAACATAAAGGATTTAATAAAGAAGAAGGGCAGCTGTGTTCAAAAGTATAATAGGAAACCAGTGGGTGTCAGATATTCAGCCTCCTTCAATCTTTTATGTTTCTGAACGACATCCCAACAGATTTCAAAAATGACAAATACAACGTTGCCAAGTAATTGGACTGAATATTTGACAGCACTGACTCACTGCCAATATGAGCCATCTATGTGGCTGAAATGTTTTGGTTGCAATATTTCAACATTTAAAAAATATTTGATAAGAAGTGGCCCTTGATTTGAGCGCACCCTCACACCGGTTTTGGAATAAGGGTACAGCAGCATCCCGTGCGCTGTACTGATGCTGCTTGCATGTTGCCTCGTAGCCCTTAAAGCTGCACCGATCAATGCTCTTTTTTAAAGATGACTTTGCCTCTATGTAAAGGTGTTACTGCGATGACCTCACAGAGAAATGTCGCCCACTGTTTAGTGCTGTAGCTGCTCACACCGTGCAGCAAAGTTTGTAACTAGATTCTGAACAATGTGGAGAATTTTAGCAGCTGAACGCCAAATAATAATGAAAAAAGACTTGAAAAAGAAAAATGTTTGGTATTTGTACACATATAGCCTCCACAGCTTGTGTTATAATCTGTCAGTTCAGGTTTCAGATGAATTCCTGATAATCTTTTACATCCACAGCGTGTTTGGTTCGTCTTGCTGTTAGTAATTCTGTTTTAGATCAGCGTTAAAGATGGCAAAGCAGCATTTAAATATTCATTAAACATGTTTTAAGGATATCCAGAATGAAGTTTAAATGCTCCACATTTTGCTTTGTGGTCAACAGACGTGTGTTGATATTGGATTTTTCCATTTTCAGGTACCTTATGAATGTGACATTTGAAGGCCGAAACCTGTCATTTAGCGAAGAAGGCCACCAGATGTTTCCCAAGCTGGTCATCATTCTTCTAGAGAAGGACAGACAGTGGGACAGGGTAAACCTTCTTCTCTTCTCTTCTCTTCTCTTCTCTTCTCTTCTCTTCTCTTCTCTTCTCTTCTCTTCTCTTCTCTTCTCTTCTCTTCTCTTCTCTTCTCT